CACGATCAAAGTCCAAGCCTATAACGTCCAACATTCCACGAACATAGTATACAGGGTACTGGTCCACAGCACGACAATTAGTCAAATTAATTTTTTTTAATTTTGCACCTTCTTTATGTGTTTGATAATTTTTATCCAAAGAAAGTGTTGTAATTAAAAGGTTAATTATATTTAAATTTTAAATAGCTATTGCCAAGCAAGATAAGAAAAATTCTATCTTGTTGGCATATTAGCAATTATACGTAATTCATGATCATTTTGAGAAAGATTCTAATTAAAAAAATAAATATTGAATTTTTTTTAATAAAACACGAATTGGTATACAATATTTAATTTGATAACAGTTAGTCAAGATGTCATACAGATTATTTTATAATAGTAGGTCAAATGATTGATGCACCCAAATTTTATAAGTAAAATTTTGCTTAAATTTGCTTTCTGGACTTATTTGACAATCAAGAAGTTGTTGGTGTATTTTTTAGACATCATTTCACAACTTTTCTTGCATTTGAAGGTTCTTACTGTGAAATTTTAAGGGTAGTTAAAAAATAAAACCCAAAAGAATTATGACCATGAAATTGGGCAATTTTTTTGATGATTTTTACTATTTTTTTATAAGTTATATATTTTGTTTACCCAAAAATACCTAAAAAATAATGATAAACAGTCAATTACATAAATTTAATTGACTATTTATTATTATCTATTTTGGGTATTTTGAAGTAAACAACATAAATAACTTATAAACCAATTGTAAAAATTGTCAAAAAAAATTGCCCAACTTCGTGGTCATGATTTTTTTGGATTTTTAAACACCCTTGAAATTTGACAAAAAGAACCTTCAAATGCTAGAGAATTTGCAAAATGATATCTAGAAATTATACTGACTACTTCTTTATTGTCAAATAAGCATAAAAAGCAAATTTAAGCAAAATTTTATTTATAAAATTTGGGTGCATCGATTATTTGACCTACTATTAAAAATTTACACAAATGATCTGTATGATATCTCAACTGCTAATAAAAGCTTAATAACTTATATAAATGAATATTATACTTATGATATCTTCATTACATTTAAATTTTGTTGGGCTTCTAAAAGATGCTAAGTTTGTTTAGGAGAAATAAAATATAGCATAAGTTATTTTGTTTATATAACTAAATTTTTTACTTCTAAAAGGCCTTTGCCTACAATTAACTGAAGCATATGAGCTATGCATGGTATATGTATAATATTAGACATTAAATTTAATGCTTTAATCATATTACTACCATTGTTAGTAGTAATTGTAAATATTTTATTAGTAAGATTCTATTCATTAATAATTGAATTTAAAGTTTTGGCAATAATCTCACCAATAAGTGGATAAGGAAGATAGTGAATAGAAAGTATATTTTTTTGTAATTGAAAATTACTATCTACATAAAAACAAGTAATGCCCAAATACCCTAATCTATTATATCTGGTCCATAAATTGCAAGTTAGAGAATATAAAATAATATTTTTTTCAAATATACTTAATAAAGATTGCTTGGTATTTTAATATGCTTCAGAAAGTAATTGTTGACAATATTTTTACTTGAAAATTTGTATAACAGATCGAATTTTGCAATAAAGTTTTTGAGGCCTTTATCATTTTGAATACTTATTGGTTGCTAATCTTTAATTAAAAGTTCAACAAATTTCTGATCTATATGCCACTTACGTTCAGGATTGCTATAAATTATTTGGTCAATTTTAAGTTATAAAGATTGTGGTTTTTTGTTTTTTCCTTATAAGAACTTTCAGTAATACCATATTATATTGCTAAGTGCCCAATATAATTTTCTGTTAAACTATTTATTGATCCTATAATATGTCTGCATAATTCATTTTTATGATTTTTGTTAACTTCAACTAGACAACTTACAATTGTTCTATAAGGTAATACAGGTTCATAACACTGATAATATAACCAAATCCAACTTCATCCTGAATGCTTGGTTATAAAAACTAACTTTATTTCTTTTAGATTTGGTAAATTTGATATATTAGTAGATTTGTTTGGTAAAATTGAAGATTTTTTATTAATCAGATTGTTATCCTTATTAGTTATAGTATCATTATCACTATTAGCCAAGTTATAATATTTATCAGATTTATTATTATCACTATCAACTAGATTATCATATTCAGTAGAATTAAATTTATCAGATTGAGAGAATTCTAAGCTTGATATGTATGTATTAGATATTTTTTGTTTTTTATATTTTGTATCAAAGCTTGAAGAATGAACAACAATATCTTCATCATTATTTTTAATCATAAAAATATGAAAAATTAATTTTAGATTCTTTGGCAACAATGTATCAATTCATATTATTTATATTTAAAATTTATTTTATTACAAAATTTGAACCTATTCTAATTTATTAAGTAATTCAAGGTTTTCGAATATTATTCGTATCAATCTTACTTTTAATTAAATTATTTAATCGATTTCTAAATTTAGATCTAATAATGAAACTAAAGCCATCAAATGATTAGATTTATCATAAATCTTAATCATAAAATTCTCTTTATATTGTTGACCTTTAAGAAAAAGCCATTTTGGCTCATATCTTTGCAATTACTAGTCTAATCAAGATAAAACTACTACCATTCGAATCAGTTTATCGAATGAATCTAAAGGTGGTGAGATCATCCAAATCCAATCACAGGAAGCCAAGATTGGACCAAAAATGTGATTTGATCAAATATTCTATATGTAGATTACATGTGGCGCAACCTGATTGGCTGATAATCAACAGCGCGAAATACTTTACATATAGCATATCTATTACATATCATTTTTATAGCATCTATATTATTTATTTTACATATTATATATACAGTCAGCCCTCGCTATAGTCACATCTGCTATAATCACAATCTCAATAAAGTCTCACAATTTTTTAGACCGATTTTTTTTATTATTAATTTCTCTATTTATAATCACGTTAATATAGCAATCACTATCACATATTTTTTTAAAAACCGTTTTAATAATTATATATAAATTTCTCTGATTATAATCAAAATAAAAAACAATACCAGTACGATCATATGAAATATGTGAAGGATGGTTCCGTTCAACTTTTTGGTGAGCTATATTTTTTCCTATTTTAGAAAGTGTTATGGTTATCGTGTTTTGCTTATTTAAGCATCCAAGTTTAGAAAAGGCTCTTAGTATTTGGGTTAACCAAGTAATAGTATCGGGGTTATCAGTTTCAGAAGCTTTAATTTCTGAAAAGGCTCATTATTTTGCAACGATTATGGGTATATCCAAAGAAGATATGAAATTTTCTAATGGTTGGTTAAATAGATTCAAACAAAGAAATAATTTAAAGGTGCATAAAATACACGGAGAGGCCAATGATGTGCCACTTGAATTATTACCAAATATGCGAGCCGAATTAAGAACTTTAATTGTAAAGTATTGACCTGAAGATGTATTTAACGCTGATGAGACAGGATTATTTTTTAGAATGGAACCCAATCAAACCTTATCATCTGGCCCCGTCACTGAAAAAAAAAATGTGATAAAAGTTTCGCTAATAATTTTATAATAGGATGATTTTAACACTTATAAAAAGGTAAAATTCACCAGGAATGCCATTTTTTACAAATAGCTTTATCGATTAGTATTTGGAATTAAGTCAGTATCCTAAAAACCTTTAATCAAGTCCTAATTCTAATCTTGAAGCTAAGAATAATAATAATACTGGTGAATTTCATTTTGATGATTTCTAAATAAATTTGCCAAGTTCATATTTAACATTAATTTTTTTAGGATAAAAATCGGCTAACAGTAATGTTAACAGTAAATTCTACAGGTACAGAAAAACTTAAGCTTCTTGTCATCGGTAAATCTAGTAACCCACGTTGCTTTAAAAAGGTTAATAATCGTGCCGCATTACCTGTAACAAAAAAAGATAACGAAAAGGCATGGATGAAGTATGACATTTTCGAAAAATGAGTAAAAGATCTAAACTATAAATTTCGAGTAGAAGATAGGAAAGTTTTATTACTAGTTGATAAAGCAGCATCCCATTTTAAGCGACGTGAAAAAAAAAAAAAGAACAAAACTGATAGCCATATAAGTTATCTTAGATTATTTATTTTTTATCTTTATATTTTTTTTTTTAATAAAAAAAACTTTATTAAATAAGATCTTTTATAACCGACAAAAAGAGCGGTACAACTGAAAATAAGAATTCTAAGCGTGGTCGTGGATGTGGTCGTGGTCGTGGATATGGTCGTGGACGTGGACATGGACGCATTTGTAGTTGTAGTCATGAACCTAATGAATATAGCTCTAGCAATAGTAAAACTCATGATACGGATATTAGTTATAGTGAAACAGATAACATGAACATTGGCAATAGTAGTTATAAGTATAGTATTTCTTATGATGTTATAATAATCGATAGCATATCTTTATTGTTATTTATACTTTTCAGATCTTTCTATTTGTGTTATCCTAAGAACAACGTAAAAGGGGCTAATCCAATCTTATCTCCTTAGTTCCTATAGTTATGGCATTTCTTCTAGTCATAACCGTAGCATTTCTCTCAGTAATGACAATTGCAATAGGTAATTAGTACTTTTCAAATTTCTCTAATTATTCAATAATTAAAATAAAAATTATTAACTTTACTTTATTCTTATTTTCTAGCCGTGGTCAGATAATTTTATTTCTCTTGATAACAGGTAATCTAGATTTTCGTTTTAAGGGAAAAATGCTAAAGGCACTTACGGATCTTTTATTTTCTAAACCATGGTATGTCTTCTGATGATGACGATAGATAATTGACTTTCCAAACCATTTATCTATTTTAAACT